CGTCAAACTAAAGCTCCGGTAAACGGTCGTCCAACCTCAGCTCCAATTTCCGGTCGTCAAACCAAAGCCCCAATCAGTGGTCGCCAGACGACCCCAGCTCCCTCCAACAGCAGAGCCCCATCGAGGGTGACCAAAAAGGGACCGATTTCGGTAGTACCACCTCCACCACCACCACCACCACCGCCACCTCCTTCTCCTCCAAAACCTCCGGTTAGACCTGTAGTTCCACCACCTCCACCACCACCTCCTCCACCTCCTCCTCCAAAAAAACCTTCAATTCCGTCACCTCCTTCTCCTCCACCTCCTCCTCCTCCAAGACCTCCGGTTCGACCAGTAGTTCCACCACCACCACCACCTCCTCCCCCACCAAAACGTCAACCAGCAAAACCCAAAACGACCATCTTCGACCCGAATCCAAACAACTTCAAGTACCTCGACTCGAAGGTCTTCCTCGCCGACCTGAATGACGGCAAGCTGGATCAGCAGCTGGTGGAGAACGGACATGTAAACCTACCTTAAGTTTTCTAAAACTTACTTTAACTAATCTTCTAATTTTTTTCAGACCAAACTCCAAGAAGACTCCCGCGCCATCAGCTCACCCCGAGACTTTGGCCTGCTCACCTGCAGCGGCAACATCATCGCCGAAAATCCAAACCTCGCCGAACTGAATGTCCGAAAGTCGGGCTGCCCGGGCGACTTTGACATTGAACTGCTGGGGCTGATAAACAACGCCCGAGCTCGCCACCAGGCGCCTCCCCTCTCGCTGGTCAAGTCAAGCGGCGGCTACAAAATAGCCGGCAGCGTAAACTTTGCCGACATTTCCGCAGCGTCGGCCAATCAGTACACTCGCCAGGCTTACCTGGAAAATGACGGAGGTTACGTTCAGCTGACGTACTCCCTTCTACGAAGCGCCCCGGACCTTCACGCAAACCTAACCAGTCCTATGGTCGCCAAGGCTCTCTACTCTCCAGGCCTCTCTAAATATCATTCCTATGGTTCGGAACCGGAAAATCGAAACCAGACTTCAGCTTTTACCGCCCTGGTTTGGAAAGCGGCCACCGAGGTGGGCATCGGCTGTACCACCTTTCACACCTTTGATGCGGCCACCAAGGTTCGAATGATCGACACGAAGGTCAATGTGGTCTTGACGCTTGGAAACAGTGGAAACATCGGTGGTGAGGGAAAGAGCGTGGCGCAGGTGAACTCCCATGGAGCCTTCAGTGAGAACGTTCTCGCGCCGAATGATATCACCTGGACGGACTACGTGGTGAACATCCAGAGTGAAGATAACATTCTCATTGATGATGATAATGAAGATGAGGATGATCATGAGGGTGATGATGAAGATATTGTCATCGAGGAGAATGGTAACGAGGTTGGAAAGAAGAAGGATAAGAGAAGGAAGAAGAAGAAGAATTAGATGGTTAGTAACTTTTTATATAAAAACTGGTGATAAGAAGTTGAAGATGATAAGAAGAGGAAGAAGTTTTTAGGGGATTTTTGAGTGAATTTTTGTACGCTCAACATGTTTTTTTACACACACAAACACTTTATAATTTGTAAATAGTCGACTAGAAGTAGTGAAAGGCATTCATGGTAAAAAACTATTAGGTAATTTAATAAAAGGCATCTCGTTCTGGTTTAATTCAAGAAAAACCATGTCAATCAAAAATTACCTTCAAAATCTCCATCAGCATCATCATCATCAGCATTGGGCTTCACATTCCGTCCCCACTGATAATAGCCAGGCGGGAAAACATTGTCCTTGTAGTGAACCTCATCCGGCGACAGAATCCAGTGCTCATAGAGAACCACAATTTGAATTCTCGTTTCCACGGAGCGAATATTCCGGTAAAGGGAATCGTACACTCCGGTCTGAGTAGTGAGACAGCCCAGGCCCGCCTGTTCCGCCGCCGAGTAAACCAAATCGATAAAAGTGTGGAAGGACTTTAAGCGGAGCTGATCTCGGGTCGGCTCCTTTCCGTAGAAGGTGTAATTGGCCGCCCCCTTCATATACAACGTTTGTACAAACTGCTCAGGAGAAAGTTGAACATGTTCGACGCTAGGGCCCACCGTCTGGTGTTCCCAGTAGGCGATTCCTGGTTTTTTAAAGTAGCTCTGGTCAATTTGTTGGGCGTTTAGCCGAGCTGCTAAATGGGTGGCATTTCCAGAAAGAGCTGTGGTGATGACGAGGGGCGGCGCCTGGTGACGCCCCCTCAGCTGATTGACCTTCCGCAGCCAGTACTTGCTAAATGTAAAAGGACAGGCGTTTCGGGTGAGACTAAAACTGGACAGGGATGGATTTCGTTTGCCGATCAGCTGCCCTGGCAAGTGGTCACCACTGAAACCGGTGAAGAGGCCAAAGTCCACAAAGGTGGACGTGTCAAATTTCTGAGCAAAAAACTTTGAAACTTTTTTATTTGAAAAATGTCATCTTACCACATCGGCAACCATGTCCAGCTTGGCGGTGTTTAAGTACTCAAAAAATTGGGCATTTTTGGAGTAAGGTTGAGGCTCGGGATAAGGTTTCAAAGTTCGGTCCCAGGTGCTTTTTAGTGAAGAGTTTGCTAAAATTTCGGTGTCATTTTCTGCTATGTTTTGAGAGTCGTTTGAGGGTGATTCAAAGTTTATGTTGGTGGTGGTGATATCTTCAGCACTGATGGTGGTGATGGTAAAAAAGAAGACGGTGATGATAGTGATGAAAAAGGGACAGCCTAAAGTTTTTGTTTTGAAAAACATAATAGTTTTAATTTTAGATGTTGTAGTTTTCATATTTAAAATGACAAAAGCAATCTTTTATTTCTAACTTTTACATCCCTTACAGGCTTTTACATAATTATTTTGCACTTTTGTTCAGCAAACAAAGCAAAAGAGGAGATGATGCAGTAAAATGCAGCTTTTAAAATGGCAAAAAATTTAAACTCAAGTTGTGCAACTCGCTTTGCAAAAAGTCAAACCAAAAGGTTAAAGTCAAATTATTTTTACAATGCACGGCTAATTTCACGACACAGAAAAGGTGTTTTTATTTAAATTTAACAAATTAAATTAAAATTGTACTCAAAACTGAGTTACTTCAAACATTACTATGATACTGTCCTGCATAGTTTCCCGGTGGGCTGTAATTGGCAACCACCACCAGGCGATTACCAGCACGCCCACAACCGACGCCCACTGAATGACTTCCTTTCCACACCAGCTGCGTAAAGTGGCCCCACTCGTGGAAGTTCTTCATGTCCGGCTCCTTGCCGAACCAGTGGTACTTGGACCTAGAAGTTACCGAAAAAATTAGATTTAGTGAAAAAGGTTTCAGCTTTTGCTTTCATCTAAAAAACTTACTTTTCAGAGTACCACGAGTTTACTGGAACATCGCCGTGAGGATGAAGAAACTGATCAGAGCCGCCCACCATCCACAGATTTTCGCCGTACTTGTTGTGGGGGCGGTGCTCGAATTTGTCTGCAAATAGTAAAAAGTTTTAGAAAATAAAATTTATCAAATTGTTGATAAGTTTTTGTTACTAGAGCTCGCCAGGTGATCGGCCCACTGCTGCGCCCAGATGCTGATGGCGCCGTCGAGGTGGAGGGCGCCGGCGCCGTGGTGCTTCCTAAGCTCATTGTGTCGGTGAAGGAAAGCCTGCTCAAAGTCGTGCGGACATCGAGCAAAAGTGGTGGTAAATAAGGTGGTGGTGATCACCACCAGAAAGAGGTAAACTGTGGAGTTCATGTTGATGGTGGTAATTTTGGATTTAAATTTGAGTATTACTTGAGCTCGTTTTTATATTCAATGGGTTTTAGTTGATAAAGCTGATCTTTGTAGTGATACTGATTTCTTTGCAGGAGGTAGCCTGTTTGTAAACTTAAAGCAGCAGCAGTTTACTACGCAGTTTATTTTTGAGCTAATTAACTTAATTAACTTTCTACTTTTATTTTTCTTTTGCTTCCTTATGCAAACGATTACTCTAACTGCCGTTTGAGGGCTAATGAGGTACCTTTAAAATGATTGTTACACAACAAGTTATTTATCAGCTAAAAGTCACTAATTAGTCTGTAAAAGTACCTGTGTATGGAGTTTTTTAATTAGTGAAAAAATAAAAAGATTTATGAAAAAAGATTTTTCTAGATAAATTGGAGTGCTCAAATCAACAAACTTTTTTAATGATAACAAAGACTTTATCGGTTACCATAGAGCTTTACACTAAAAGAATAATCTAACATCTCAACAATCTACAGCTCAAATCTCATCATTACGTAAAACACCTGCTGCAAACGACTACACAGCTTTTAATTTTAGTAATGATTTATTGATCAATAATTTTTGGTAATGATGAAGAAGAAACCTGAGGTGAAAAAAAAGTTGGCCAAAATTTTTACCCTTTAAAAAAACCCTTTCGGTTTAATTGTGGGGCGCCGGAACGTTCTCCTTAAAGCTGCCCACCATGTTGCCCGGCGGCGAGTAGTTGCCCACCACAACTAGCTTGTTTGCGGTCACCCCGCAGCCGACGCCCACCGTCTTCGAGGCCTTCCACACCACCTGGGTGAAGTGGCCCCAGCGGCTGAAGTGGGACATGCTCGGCTCGTGGCCGAAGGTGGAGTGGCCGTAGTCCTTGATCTCATCGTACCAGTCCTGGACGCCCTTGCCGCCGTCCTCGTGGGGCGTGCCCGCCGACGACCAGCTGCTGTACAGGTTTTCGCCGTACTTGTTGTGGGGGCGGTGCTGGAAGGCGTCTGGAAAAAGGAGGAAAGGAAAGGAAAAGGAGTTTAAAAAGGAGTTCACTAAAAATCAGCAAATTTTTTTTCGCTTACTCGTCGAGGCGAGGTGGTCCGCCCACTGCTGCGCCCAGGTGCTAATCTCCGGGTCGAGGGTCAGCGGTGGCGAGCCGTGCTTCGCTCGAAGTTCATTGTGCTTCGCCAGAAACTGCTTCTGAAAGTCGGCGGAGCACTTGCTGCCCGAGGCGAGGGCGGCTCCGGTGAAGGCGGAAAAGACGAAAACGGCAATGAAAAACTTCATTTTAAGAGGTAAACTTTTGGTTTGGTGAGGTTTGAGTAGTGGTTGGATGCCTTTTCACGGGTCAAAATCGGGTGCTTTATATACTCCGCAAAAAATGCTTTTTGCATTTGACTATATCTGAGATGATCAAATGCTTAAGATTTGGGTCTGGAGGACCGGTCTGAAAACAAAAGTGAGTTGCAGCCAAAAAACTGGACTATTGCTTCTCGGTTTCAAGGTAAAGCCGAGATTAAAGTATGTTGTGATAGTGGTGATTACCTTTTTCCAGCAAAATAATATTATTAATCAGTTGCTAACGGCTGAGTTTACACCGTTTTTGTTGACATTTTTATCAGCTGCTGATGATTTTTTAGTATCTAACTAACTAAATCGATCATCTTAAGTAATAATAATAAAAGTGACAGGCAAAGTGTGAGTGGAGTCAACAAAGAGAAAGAGAGAGAGAGAGAGAGCTGATTTCTTTTTGAGAGTTTTGTTTTTGACGCTTTTTGGTCTTCACCAGAAATCAACAAAGCCAACTAAAGCAATCACACCATTTTTAGCGATTGTCTTTGATGATTGCGTCGTACAACAAAAACATAATTATTTTGATACAGCTAATCTGATGATTATAAATGTTGATGATGTTGATAAACTGCCCAGAAAGAGAACTCTATAGTAGTAGATTTGCTAAAGTCCGTCGACTTATTGAACTTTGTTCAGGAAAGAAAAAAAGTTTTGCTGTACTAAACAATGACCGTACTTTTGACAAATTAATTAAAAAATTGGATTTAAAAATTAAAAGTTTAATCAGTTCAATGTTCAAAGTTTTAAAATCAGATAAAAATCAGATCACTGCGAATCAAAGCGCTGCCGTCTTGGGAGCGAATCTTGAAGCTTCTGCTGTACAAGAAAAAATCTTATCAGCAGCAGAAATCTTTCTTATCTGCGCATGAGCCGTGGAAGCAGCGGCAGACTTTTTCTCGATCCTTCAAAACACGTGCTCCTCATTTTCTCCTCGGTTTTCTCGTCGCCGTTTT